CTCGGCTTTCTGCCCGCTCACTGTGGGCTAAAAGGTCTAAGGCAGCAAGCAGTAAGACCTCCGGGACACAACTGTTTTTCTTAAAGTCCACAAAGAGGTTAAAAGCCAGTGTTTTGGTGCAGATGCCACCTTTATCAGGACACAACTATAACAGGTATAAAGAGACCTACAGTATATATGATGCAATACGGCTGGGTTATTGACAGCTTTCTAACCATCGATGCACTGCTGTCTGAACGCTACGATTAATCGATGAATCAATCAATGCTTAAAACAAAAGGGCCTATGGATACAACTCAATTATATCATGAACTCTTAATCTTAACATTCCTCTAAGATGGCAGTATTGTATTCCTCACTCTGTATTAACTATATATACTGTATATCTTGCTCTCATCTTGATAAAAGCACAATAGCTTGTTGGGTCAGTTGTCTGGTTCCATACTAAGTTCTCCACAGAAGCCAGTGGGGTACCTTCTAGAAACGTTTCCAACCATCTGGTGGGAATTTTTCTTATTATTTTTCAGAATTTGATTTTTGAGGATGTTTCCAGAATCTCAGTAGCATTTGTTCCTTCAAACTATTTTTTTTTTTCCTTTGTCAAAGTTTTATTTTGACATTAGTTGATGGTTGGATCATTCTACTCTACATAAAGTACAGCACTCCACACATTAAGAAAGTCTCACATATGTACTGTAGTACATTGTAGTGTACTAGTGTGGTATCTACTATACATCCCTAAAAGTAGAAATATTTTTCTGAACAGCACAAACATGTACTGTAATTGGTTTTGATAGAGTTTTTACTTCCATGCTGTGAACTGTGAGGTCCTGTACGGTTTCTCTTACATAATACATGTCACATGGGCTTTATATAAGGTTTACGAAGGGATAAGTAATCATACAAGAAACTGCAAATCATTTTGTCTTCTAAATTTACATGACAAACAAAATTCACAACAATAGTTACAGTAAGCCTCCTGATCAAGGTATTTTTGAACATGTTAAAACTTGGCTTTTACTAAGTCATTTAAGTGCCACATTATTAATTACTGTGTTACAAACATGTAGTAGGACATGAAATATTAGAATCTGTCCTATTTTTATGCCAACAATTTATATATTACAGCATGTTCATCGCATGTTGTAAAAGGTCTGTTTTCTATTTCTTCTTTGTCTTTTTTTCTTGTGATGAGGAATTAGATTAAAACATTTTCCTGTATGTTCATTTCACTGTGTATTTCTTTGTTCTAATTATTCGATTCTAAAATTGGAGGCCGTTTGTATACTTTTGTATGTGAGATGCATGCTGAGAAGGTAATTATTGTTTAAAGGTCTCTGTGCATGATATTTATGTCCTCACAAGGGTATGTCTGCACCAAACATTGGCTTTTAACCTATTCTTATAGGGTTCAGGATAAAAACAAAATGTTGAGAGGGTTTAGTCTTTGCTCATTTTTATTATATTTTTCTCTTTCCGACACGCTTTTGTTAGCTTTATGTGGAACTTGGGTATGGCATGTTTTGCATGACCGCATGTACAACATGAGGTGTATGTACACACCTGAAGAAATCTCCACGGCCGAAATGTCTCTGTTCTTCTTATTTCTTTTCAGCACGGAATGAACCTTTATGTATGTGTACGTAAGCACGTGTTTTGTGGGGAGCTTCCACACTCTGGGTCCTCTGGATCGAAAGCTGAACCTCCTGTGTGAAGTGCAGAGACGGGATCGTGATGGTGTGCATGCTAATGAGTTACTCTAATGACATTGCTGAAACGGCCTACAGCTCCACATCCCATTTCAGTGAAAATAGCTTGCCGCCTTCTCCTCCGAGTCTTACCAGTGGGGCTTAAAATAGGTCACTGGCCTCCAGGAGAAAGCCGAGGGTGGCAACACTGTATCTGGCTCTTTTATAAATAATGTAGAAATGGCCTAATTGCACTGAAAGTGGATACCAGTTGCACAGCTGCATTCTCTGCATGACCTTGACCAAGTCGCCTGACCCCTCCCTCCTTCAGTCCCGCTCTCTCAGCAGAAGCCTAATCTAACAGATGATGCTTCGGCTTTAATATCGCCTCTGATTTCATCTTTGTTAAAGCCATCTGCAGGTTCACCCTGTGAAATGTGGGAGGACGAGCACACATGCGCTCTGCGAATTTCTCCGCCAGCTGATGTGGACTGGGGATTTGTGGTTTTTGCATATTTGGATATTTTTAGTTGGGTGCTTTTGAATATGCCATCCATACTGAAGAGAATGCCGGGTTAAATAAGATTCAGATGGTTTTTTTTTTTTTAGCAGATGGAGAGATTCGTAAGCTTTTCAGAAATACTTGACCCCTGGTGATTAGGTCATTTGTTTTATAGAACCGTAATAAGAGGAATTGTTTGCACAATGCAGTAAATGAAAGTTAGAGAATATCTGTACTGGGGTTAAAGCATCTGCTTTAAGTTTTGATTTAAGTTCCGTTACGTTTTCTTTGCTGCTATTTACTACAGTGTATTCCAGTAGTTTTGCTTCATTGAGAGCTACTTCTAGCCTGCAACTTCACCATTTTCTGCGGTTTCATATAGTCGCAGTGTCTCTGAAATGGTGACACCTCAACTACATGACCACACAATTTGGTTAAGCCCTGTCTTTTATTAAGGCACCCTGATCTGGTCTGGGATACAGGAGATGTTCCTGCTGAACTCATTAGGAGAGCGGCTGGAGCAGACTGAACGAGCAAGGGGAGCAGTGAGGTCGCTTCAGGACAGGAGTTGGTGTAGTGTGTGTGTGTGGCCGGCAGGCTCGCATTCTTCTTAAATGACAAGAATTTAAAAAAAAAAACTTAGAACTGTGAAAAATGGTTCTGGACTGCTGCGGGGTTTCAGCGTTATGTATGATACATCATTACAATTTGATAATTAGAATCTAAATTTAGATTTGTCTGTGCATAATGTGGGCTGAGGTGATCTGAATCTGATTCCACCCAATTTCTTCCATTGCCTTTTATGAAACATTTATGAATTTGTGGTTTTTCATTTCTCGGTCACTGTCTCTTTCCCGGGGGTGCGCGAACGCGACTGCCGAATCTTGGTGTGTGGTTTCACCTAGGCGGTACGCGACAGGGAAGAGGCAGTAAGACGGTCTGTGGGCGGAGCGGTGGCTCTGTGGCTCAGGATCTGTGCCTGTGGCTGGGAGGTTGCCTGTTCAAATCCCGCAGCCGGCAGAGGAATCCTACTCCGTTGGGCCCCTGAGCAAGGCCCTTCACCCCAGCTGCTCCAGGGATGCTGTACAATGGCTGACCCTGTGCTCTGACCCCCAGCTTCTCTCTCTGTCTGTGTGTCTCATGGAGAGCAAGCTGGGGTATGCGAAAAGACAAATTCCTAATACAAGAAATTGTATAGGGCCAATAAAGTGATGTTATGTGTTTGTCGATCCCGATCCCTGCAGGTTTCTTGGCCTCCTTCAAGCTGCCGTCCTACGAAGAGGTTGCGGCCCGGCCCAACACACCCCCGCCTCCCTACAGCACGGTTTTTGCCCTGCAGGGGGGCCAGTACGCCCAGGCGGGGCCCAGCGGCATGACGTCGTCCCAGAGCTCCGACAACTACACCAGCTGCTCCTGCGAGTCCTGCTCCGCCTCCTCCCCCAGCAGCACCTCCTTCTCCGTCCAGGTCACCGACGAGACCGACACCAGCCACGCCAGCACGCCCAGCGAGGCGGCAGACTCCCGGCCGCCCAGCACCGACTCCCCCGGGGCCGGGGCAGAGCCGGTCTGCCCCGGGGCGAGCCAGTCTCCTCCCAAGCACGCCCTCTTCTCCTCCAACGTGGACGTCTTCGAGCCGGCGGGGGGCGCCTCGGATGCGGAGGACGAGGACGAGGCAGAGGCTGACGAGGGCCACTACCGTCACCGCCGGCTCACCGGGGACTCGGGCATCGAGGTGTGCCGCTGCCAGGTGGAGAGCGAGGACGAGGAGGAGGAGGAGGAAGAGGAGGGGGAGCAGGAGGGGAGGGGAGAGGCGGGGGCCAAGGACGCCGCGAGCTTCCTTCACGACAGCGTGGACTGCACCAACAGAACCCAGGCCCCCCAGCCGCCGCAGCACTGCCAGCCCGGCGACCCGGTCCCCGAGGAGCATGCCAGCTTGTGTGCCAGCGCCGCCGCTGCCCTGCAGCTCAGCCGGGAGTCCGTCATCACTGTGGAGTCCGTGTGAAGCCAGAGCGGACAGGGCAAGAGGAAAACAAGCAAACGGGGGGGGGAAGAAAAAACAGAAGAAGAGGAACACAAAGTATTCCGAGGTGGGAAAAACGAGTTGGAATCCCGATATCGCCCTTTGAGGGGGTGGGAGGGGGGGGGGGATGTGACACTGACGGCAATATTTTCTCACTCGCCCATCTGAGCTTCGAAAACCCAAGCGCTGGGGACGTCCCGTGGGTGTGACCGAACCTGTGTGGACGGCGAGCGCGAAGACGAGTTGAGGCGAGAGCGACAGGACGGGGAAAGACGAGTGCGCCCGTTTCCCTCTCGCCTGGAAGAACACAAGTCGCGCAACAAAAGAGTCGTTTCTCTTTCGAAAACAAAGCAGCGGTAAAAACCGCTCCTTGGTTTGGCCTTGGCGATCCGAAGTCGCGCATAAAGCATAGCACCCAGCTGCTGGTGCGACCATGAAGTCAGCATACATTTTATACCTCCCCTTCTTGTTGACTGAGCGGCTCACACATCTGCCGTTTTGTACGCCTCTGTTTTGAAAAGACGTGCACTCACACCCCCCTTAATTATCCTCACGGGCTTGACAGGCTTCTGCATCTCATCAGCAGCGGATGGGTGGGAAGTCGCTGCTGCTCGCTAACCAGCCTGATGTAACAAGAACCCGCTTAACGACTTGGATTCGTTGTTGCGCCGTTGATTTCTGATGCTGCTTGAACCATGTGTCAATTCAAAGGCAATAATACATTTGTCTCTGTCCCGTTATGCTGTCAAGCTGGTACTGGGGTCCCTTTTAGAAGACACTCGAAACGAATCGCGTGAAACGCTAGTCCACCCACTCCGTCGTGGTGATCTTCTTTCTTCTGGCCTCTTGACCTTAAAGAGGAGACTGTGAAAGAGGGTTGTCTTTATAACGTAGTGTGTAAAGATGTATGTGATCGAATCCCTCGGGCAGAAGCGCGAGTTCAGCGCCCAACTGATTCTGGGCGTTTTCTCTTAAAAACCCTCCCCCCACCGTGAAGGGGGTCCGCCAGCTTCACAAGAGCCGTGCCCAGACTTCACCCTCCAACGAGTTGGGGGTGTTGTGAAAGCCCACCCGAAGGTCCCCTCCCTCACCAGAGATGTTGAATGTAAACCTTCATTGCATCGGACTTGCGGGCGTTATTTACTCTTCATCAAATAAGTTAGCACCTCTACGAACGCCTCTACGAAGTGTTTCCTCGCACACAGACTTCCGGCCGAACCCGAGTCGGCAGTATGAGCTGTTTAAACAAGCAATGAAAGTCCTGCACTGAAAGGAGGCATTTTCTCACACTTCGGGAGTATGGTACTGTATTTGAGCCAGGAGCAGATCGTAGGTTTTTTCCTAGAGATCATGGACTGAATGCCATTGCTGAGAAAGACGCCACATCATATGTGAGCTAAAGAATTCTTCTTTTGAAGATATACTCAGTACAAAAAAGAGCATGTGGCTTAAAGTATCTGTATTACATATAACAAAAAGACACTAATTAAAATTGGGGATTATTTTCTTCCCTACATTGCATGTTTTATGTCAGATACCCCATAAACAGTTAAGATTTGCATATATAACTTCACTTTCTTGAGTTGATTGTTTTTGGTCAGTTTTGAATAATTTGAATGACTATTTTCACATAGCCTAGGATAAAAAGAGCACTGTCAACAGTGTTAAGAACACCCATAAACCAGAATACAAGTCCTGTGCTATATACAGATAGATAAAATATCTACAAAAGTATAAAAAAGTGTTGCGAGACTGTTGTTTTCTCAGGGTATGTTAAGGAGCGAGACGTTCCGATTTGTTTTTGGGGACTCATAAGAGCAGACGCCAAACCCATCTCAAAACGAATGCAATTCTAAAAGGGTGTATTTTTTTTCTGTTAGACTACTGTTTTATCCCGCTTTCTTTCAGAGACCTCACATGCCAGGAAATAATTGCTCCCTGACGGCCCGATAACCAAGAGTCATTTTGCCGTTTAAAGGGAAAGCTGTCCCTGCAGCTCTCTTGTGTGCTGCGACGCTTCGCAGTGCTGCCTGCGTCTAATTTCTGTGAGGTGACCCTTGCCTCTTGTATGAAATAGAAAATATTTGACGCATATGTGGCCTATTGCTAAAACCCTGTGCTAAAAAAGTGCTGTGCTCGACATGTACACCTGGACGTAAACTACTGACGTTAACCGCTGACGGGCTGTACTTGCTGCTGGCCTCCGGTCATACCTAAAGGACTAACCTGTCTCACCTGCTTTCCGGAGGTGGTCTCCTTACCCGTTACGCACTGCTGTGTGTGGCAGCGTCTTAGATAACGGGCTGGGTGCGTCAAGCCTTGATGAATGTCTGAGCGCGCAAATCAGTCAAATAAAAACAAAATGTAATTCTGTTCAGCAGATTGTGGAAATGTGTCGCATTTTGAAACTTGCTGTGTTTAAGCACTGTCGAATGCTTGTGTGCTGTACTGTACTTGGCTGAAGCAAGCTGAAACGAAACAAACGGCCTGGAACATTATTCGTTGCGTAGTGCATAGTAATACATCTGACCCAGAAGGAAATGTCTAAAAAACTTGCCATGGCCTGAAACAGTTCTTTTTAAGGTAATGAACTCTATTAAGTGCAAATTTGTTGCTGAGGTGGGATGTCCAGAAGGAAAATTTAATTCTAAGCAATTTGATTTCTTATTTCAGATCTGTTACTGTTACATAGCTTGTAAGATCTAGAGGCCATGCAAAAATAAAGAGTCACAGAATGGATATTAACCGTGCCAAGAGTTGTAAACATGCCATCTTGTGTTCCAAGTTCAGCTCCGTCAATGTGCATGGTTGTTAGGTCAAGGGAGTCTTTGTTTTAGTCTGTGTGTGAAATCCCTGTTTAAACATTTAAATCGGCATCGCGCAGCCTCATTTGCACATCATAAAAGGAGTGTGTTCCAGAACAGAGCTGCCTATTGACAATGGGAATAGAATGGTGTAGCCTCGAGACTGTCACAGGGTACCAGTGATCTCGGGCGCTGGAGGGAGGGGGAGAGAGGTCCCGTGACTCTGACTTCACTGGGTTTTTTCCACGGCTCCTGCAGGTGTCACAGTTTGAGTAAAATGCAACTTTTCAGCAGACACACACACGCAAAAGAAACTTTACAAATGAGAGCAGGCCGTTTGGGAATTAAGTAGGTTATTGATCCCAGGATCTCAACCAGTCGTTTCTTGAAACAAACCAGGGTATTGGCTTCAGAAACTGGGTAGCTTGTTCCAGACTCCCACAACTTTTTGGGTAAAGAAGTGCCTTGTGTGCTCCGTTTTCAATCCACTTCCATGGTGTTTCCATACACCTGTGTCCTCTAAAAGCCTATGCTGTGCTCCAAGTGCGTGTCAGCCTAAAGTTGCTGGAGAGTCATTGACAAATGTAACTTCACGCCCTCCATGCAGGTGTTTTTGCTTAAATGTTATTAGTGGCCAAGATGCAGGTATTGCAAAAAAGCTTTCGAAAGAAAAGGCATTTTTTCAGTGTTTGCTGAAGCAGTATATATTTTGTAGTATTCTTTCCACTAGTATGTTGCCACTTGGAGTATTTCAGAATTAAGAATAAACTAATCTAATTTCATTACATGTAAAGTTTCAGTTGCAGGTTTCCAGGTTGTAATGTTTGTTTTTAAACCACTCATTCCCTGTGTTTTTTTAAATGTTTACCATCCAAAATCTCCAAAGCTTACTGAGCCACTTTTGTCCTCCCACCCCTTGATTTGAAAAGAACAGCCAAACACCTTGTGCAGCCACAGGCAAAAATAACTGCACAGCCACACAAAGGTATAGCAGTGGGGTTAGTAATCGGTGTTGCTTGTGAACACCTCTTGAGTGATAGATAAGGCAGAGTAGCCAGAGACTGTTGGATGATCATATTGATAATAATTTGTTACACTTATATAGAGCTTTCTGGACACTCCTCTCAAAGAGCTTTACAGGTAATGGGGTAATGGGGACTCCCCTCTACCACCAGCAGTGTGAGGCCCCACCTGGATAGCCTTCACGTTTTTTTTTAAGTGGGAAACTGAGTCGGCGAAAGTCTAGAGAGGTCATGTGGCGAAAAATAAACTCTGGAATGGCGGCACATTGGACACGCGCAAGAAGCGTTCAGGTCCAGGTGCAGTTTTCCAGATTTCATTTGCTACAGATATTTTTTTGCTTTGATCAGCCTCCTTCCAAGTGTACTGCACCACAGCTTCTGTGTACCGTGTGTGTTACTGGTTTGGTAATGACCATATCTGAGATCTGAGAGATGATGGTAACTCCAGCAGGGTACCGCGGAGGTTAGCAGTGCTGGAGCCCTGGGTTCAATTCTTGAGGGGTATCTTGGTGGAGTCTGCATGTTCTCTCTGGGCTCACATGGGATTCCTCCAGGTGCTCCAGTTTCCTCCCAAAGCCCAAAAACATGCTGGTAGTTTAATTGGCTTCTGGGAACATTGGCCCGGGTGTGTGTGTACACCTGCAGTGGACTGGTGGCTCATCCAAGGTGTATCCAGCCTTGTGCTTATTGCTTGCTCTGGCTCCCCTGTGACACTGAACTGGATCAAAAAATGGATGGAAGGGGAGTGACTCCAGAGAAATACAGCTTGAGCGCTGATGAGGTGATCCTCTTACAGCAAAACCATTTCTCTTACCAACCAGATCCCATCTTCTTAAAAATATAAATGTGTCTGAAGTATTTGTTTTGGGTCTTCCTTTTATATCATCAGTTTTCATTTTGGTGGAACATAGTTCACAGTCAATGTGAACGAGGCTAGAATTACAAATGTGTGCATAAATATCTTGACATTTTTTATGTCTGCTTTAAAGCCAGGACTGTGACAAGATACGTGTCCAGATATTAGTAGAAGAAAGACCATTAGTCCCTTTGTCCTTATTTTTATTTGTGCTTTCATTTAGGCTTATAGTTCTAGCAAATCATGCATCCAGAAATCATATGTGTCTTTCAGTGAACAGAGATGTGCTGGCTGTATAATTTGCTCTTGGGCATTAAAAAATATCTGAAGACTATATCTTCTTGTATGATCTTTTTCTAAGCTTTTGTAATGTATGGGGGAAAACCCCTTACCTAGCCTGTTTAAGTTGTTTGTTTATTACGGTACATACATTATTAAAAAACAAAATACATTTACAATTCATTTAGCAAAACTATTTATCTACTGTATGAGGACCTACAAACTAGGAAATGTACATGAGGAGTAAGTAAAAGGAAGAATTGTTCAGAGGCAATATGGTAAAAAGAAATTGCCACCATGACAATTAGGTTAACCCCAAAATCTACTGGGGATGAAAAGGATTAAATCTCCCAATTAAGACCAGAGATTAAAACCTGGTCCCATTTCAGGGTATCCTGGAGTTACTCTAGATGGGATAGTGATCTTCTGGCAACTGAAGAAAATGGCACTGTTAGACTCCACTAAGAAAACCATAAATGGTTCTGTTGATTCAAATCACGATTTCTTTATTGCAACAGGTTAAGCTGGTCTCTCACTCACTTTTTTTCAAACAGAACAACAGGCTTTTATTCTTGAAGATGAGCAAAATTTGCATACGAAAACAAACATTTTTATGAAAGGTCAGTAACAGTATGTTGCCTTATAAGGTGTAAACAAGGCGAGAGATTGGGGCAGTCAACTCAGGTCAGCCTTGACAATAAACCAAGACCTCCGTTCCCTTTATGTCACTAAATCTGAGCGGAGGACACATGAATTACATCTTTTTTTCTAGAAACCTTGGCTGGCCAGGAATGTGCAAAACAATAACCCAATTCTTAAAATTCAAGTTCACGTTTATAGTGATATGTACCTGAGTACAATGTAAAGCTTACTTGCGTGTTTTTCTCATATGAAAAATGACGCAACAGATGACATAGGATTGACATAGAAAATGACATAAATGATGTCGCAATTCCTGAAGACAGGAACAGAGTACCAGCATGTATTTTAATGAGCATTTAGATAGCAGCTGTATGCAAAATTCAGCAGGGGCAGTATTTTGAGCTCGGTGCAAAACAGAGGCTTGTACAGTAGGTGCGATTTTGTCTTATGGATGTGGGGTAAGAGCTTTCTTTGAACCCATCTAGAGATTCAAAGAAAGCTTCTTAGCTCATAGGTTCCTTCAGCATGAAGGTTTAAACTAGCTAAGCTTGCTGGGTCAGTGTGTGGTTATGGTCCCACTCCAGTCCAGACATCGGCACCGTCCCTGTCATATTGCGTAGCTGCGTACTGTACACCTGTAGACCATTGGAGCCGCCCTCCCTTCCATTTCTGTCACCCATCATAAACGCTGCTTACACGGGGCCTCCTGTATAGAAGATGACCCCTCCCACCCCTCCCATAAACTCTTTGCCCTCCTACCATCTGGGAAAAGATATCGCAGTGTACGGGCCAGCTCCACCAGACTCTGGAACAGCTTCTTCCCACAGGCTGTCAGGCTCCTCAACACCCTGGAATCTACTGGCACCCACCCCAATTCCAGAAACAGGGTTTAAATCCCCTCTGTGTGTTGT